GGATGGAAAGTATCCAACGATATTTCACCTCAAAACTCCTAGGCTATGATTGTAAGAAAGACTACATCTCACGGTGTACGATCCTAAAACTTGACCCACTTTGGACAAGGCGACTTATTATAAACCTAATATTCTTCTTTAAGGTCCTTCACAAAATATCATTCTCAGGGAACAGGGACATACAATTCGCACAAGAAGGTTCTTACGATCTACGTAACCAAACTTCCACAGTGACAACTCATTCTTTTAGGTTATCACTCCGTGAAAACTTCTTCACAGTCATGTATTCTAAAATATGGAATAGCCTGCCTATAGATATCAGAACTTGCTCTTCAGTTACAAGCTTCAAACGCTCTCTATACAGACTGTTTCACTCTACTGATTATATTAATAAACTATTTACTCCTAGAACGAATCAATCACTAATCTACTACAGCACCTAAAAGACGCACTCCAACACCCTTAGCAATCTTTAAACTATAAATAAACTAGCAGCATGGATGCATAAAGACAGTACGGAACATACAGGATTAGTTTACCCTTAGAAATAGGACGTGTCACTTTATTGTAACCTTCAAACGCTTGCTATATAAACTGTTTTATTCCAATGACTACCCCTACCAGAAACCATTAATTACTTCTAAAACGCATCAGTCATTAGAACACTAAAACGCTCAGACTCATTAATACACATTATGACACTAAATAAACTCTAAGACTTCGCATAAATAAAGTGAAAAGGCAACTATAATTAAAAGTAATTTTTTACTTATATGTTATAAAATTGACATAAACATTTATACATATACATTAATATCCTTTTAATGTTCACATACTTTCTTTTTCTGGTATTCTGCTGCTCTTATTCATCTTCTGGTCGAGGTCGAACAACCCTGCATCTAAACTGAAATGAGGATTAATTCCAAACCATCTATATCATAACCACTCAAATTCCATGAACGATCCAAATCTACCATTTGAAGACGCTGGCGAACATGCTGTAAATGAGTATTCATGATCTGAAATGAAGAAGCAACTGGTTTTCAACATTTTTCTGAACTTACGAATACAGTCCGCCATGCAGACACAAATGGAGCAAATGGAGAATTCTGGAATCGACCTCGACACCATTTGATGCAGTAAAACAACTTAATATGACCTTATCTAGTTTTCGTATCCACGGTCAAATTTCTTTCCTGTTATAAAACTAAGACAAGACTGCTGAAAAAGTGGAATAAATATATCACTGATCTCAACATAATACATCAATAAACTTCAAACTAAGGGTGTTGCACACAACAAAGTTATATAAGAGAATTGACTTCAAGCTTTTTTTCCCAGATATCCGTATTACATTCATCTGATGTCTGGTTTTTTTTAATGCGAAGACAATATTTCTATATCTCTTTATGTGCTACACAGACTTTATAGCAGACTGTTCCGACTGACTCTCATGTCAGAGAGAACAACCAAACTGTAAATTCATCATACATCAAATTATGTGTAATTTATATAATAACTTATCCATGCCTGTACAATTGGTATGTTCCTGCATAAACAGGAAGAAATATATATTATTATCAACCAAGCGTAGGCACAGAGTAATTTACACCAAAAATAATAGCATGCAAATAGTAACTTGAAACTAGAAATGCCTTTATTCATGCAAGTCAATTTAACAATTACTCTCTCGTTTACACTTGGCTTATCCTCACTAAACTGAGCAATATCTTTCGTCTCTTAAAGTGCACCAATACTATCATAGTCATTGCACAAGATACTTGAGTTGATGGGCGTCCTTCTCATTGTGGATGACAACACCAACGACGACTGATTGATACCAGTTGATGAAGTTACCGGTGGATCAAAAGCTGTTGTTGCTCGGCTTTCAGAAATTTGTCTATCTGCAAGACCACCACCACTGCCTTCTTTTACTATCAGCTCAGGTTTAGCACTATCATCTGATGATAGGTGGGCTACATGCTGATCACTCACACTGACGGTCTGACGAGTATGCATGCCTTCTGCAACTGCATCTGCATTTATTTCTACTTCACGTTCAAGTTGAAAAGAACCTTTATTCAACTTAGCAGTAGTAGGCATATCCCTCATCTCATCATGATCAACCAAAGACAAATGTTCACTATCATGATCATTATCACGAATATTCACTTTACCGTCAATTTCATCATTTTCAAACTCTTTAATGACAGAAGTAGACGATTTTGGTTCCTTAGGTTCTACCTTAGAATGCAGAATGCTGGCGAATTTGCCCATCGCCTGGTTGACACTGTCCTTCACCAGTCTCAGAATATCATCAAACCTTGGCTCGATACCCTCATCCTCTATACGAGAGCTTATTTTTACCCACTTCCTTTGCAGCCGAGTAGGTAGGCGTCTCTCAATTACCTCTAGGACTGAGCTCGAGTTGAGGTCACTCATGCAATTCATAGAAATCAAGGTATTCTTATAAGTCATAAGACTATCCAAGAACTCAGTAAGTGCCTTGGAGTCATCTTGAAGTTGACTGCCGTTACCTTTGACAGCTTCGTATACGTTCCTTACAATCATTGAAGGTCTTCCAAACCTTTGACGTAATATGCTCATAGCCTCAGCGTATCCATCATTAACAGGGCGTAAGCTTACAGCACTGTATAGCTCTTGAAGCATCTCCAGTGCAATACCTCATCAAATACATCAACTTCAATTCATCGTTTAATAGAAAACTACTCAGCATGATCTCAAACTCCTTTACAAATTGTAAATAATCAGCCGAGTTTCCGTCGAAACACCGTGGTTCAAATTTAGGGAGTTTGATGTTCCTATTATCCCTGAACGGCGAAACAGTAACATCAACCATGTCATGTTTAACACCAGACACATCGTCACAAGTAACAGACAAGTCACCATGACTTACTTTCCTGTTTGCACCCAAGACGCTTTGTTCCTTCTTTGACCCAGGCATTGTTGAACTTGACCCAATTCCAAAAACGTTCCAGATAATGCTTGTTCAAAGAGGACTTGACCGGCACTAGGAAAGATGGATGGTGACTACTATCCAAAGTCGTGCCAACTGTCCAAAACCGTTTAAAAACTGACGTTGTACCGTCAGAAACTGTCAGCCACGTCTCGTAAACCGTAATGCCCAGCTATCGCTACTCTGGGACTCACGCTGTTCCTTGAAGTTTCTCAGAAACGCTTAGTAATAACGGACGCAAAAACCAAAACACCAATTGGCGACTCGAGGATTCTTTATTGTAACACCAACATATAAACACTGTTACAACTAAGGTCTGTGAACAAATATTACAATAATAAATCACAGTATTACTTCTGACGGCTTTCTGCTGACTTCTTCCTGAACAGCGACCGATGAGACGATGACTGTCGTATTGATGCCTCCGCGAAAATTGGGGAAGTTGGTTTTGAGCAAACAACCATGAATTGATCGTTCAATCTTCAACTTCTTTGACAGCTCTGATTATATGTTTTTATCCACCGAATATTCACTAATACCTGTATGGGATTTTATAACGGTGAAAAACCAAATTCCCTTGAGAATCGACGTTAACGGAAGAGTATTTCAGGGAAACACAAGCTTATGCCACCGGAATGCATCAAATCTGCGGCTGTCTATTTTTATCTTCGGTCTAGTCTTCAATATTGGGTGTTGGCTGTTTACTGACGTTGCCATCTTACAATCGAACTAAAGGCTAGAAGACCTGGGAAAATCAAGTGAAGTTCGTGTGAACATAGGCTGGGGAGCCTAGAACTAAAGGCCCCGATTTATTCCATTTATTCGCGTTATCACAATTTTTCCTTATCTACCACTAATCTCTTGCCTTTTATTTTCCAGTTTTTCTCTCAGAGATACCTAAAACGTGGTGGTCATAAATTGAGGTAATCCAACAGCAGTCTCACAAAATGCAGATGGAAATCAAGTTTTCACATACCATGGCCAACGACTGGAACTGCTTACAAAATCGAGTGGTATTGAATGAATTTGTAAACTCCCTAAAGTGTCAGTTGGAACCACTCAGTGATAAATATCACGAGGATTAACACTAGCGACAAGGGCTGTCAGTCTCGTCTCATAAACCGTTAATGCCCAGCTCTCGATACGCTCGGGCCCACGCTGTTCCTTTGAGTTTCAGAAACGCTTAGTAATAACGGACGCAAAAACCAAAACACCGATCTGCTGCTTGTTATTTCTTTATTGTTACACCAACATATAAAAGGAATAAACGAACTAAGCAACTAAGGTCTGTAAACAAATATTACAATAATAAATCGTTATGTTACTTCTGACGATGTTTCACTCTTCTTTCTGAACAGCGACCGATGAGACGATGACTGTCGTATTGATGCCTCCGCGAAAATCGAGGAAGTTGATTTTGAGCAAACAACCAAGAATTGATCGTTCAATCTTCAACTCCATTGACAAGGGCCTTCTATAATATATCTCTTGATCTCTAACACTATATATATTATTGCGGATCCATATTATTTGTCATTATTACCTCTCTTTTTGACCACACCAAGCGACTAACGGTGGAAAGGATCATATCAATTCACAGCTGCAACATGGTTTTAACACATCACATACAACAGGGGTGGCACAGAAGTTAGGACTCTCATGCACATGATCCGGGGCTCGATCCCGATGTCAGTGGTTGGCCCGTGATATTGGGATATCGATATCGCATGCTGAAAATTCCATACTTGTAACAAATATACGGTATGGAGTCAAGCTATAATTAAAAAATATAACGAATCCCGGTACCAGTATGTTTCGAGTCATACGAAGTTACGATAGTCAAGTAGCGTCACATGCAAATTAGGAGTTTATGGATGACCAGGAACTTTTACTTTGAAACCGATAAGCCAGCATGAAGAAATCAGTTTGGTTTACACTAGATCGTGAAGACGATATTGAATAAATTGGATATCAAGCGGGTGACTAGAATTCTCAAGGACACCCTAACGTTTACCATAGCAACATGATCCCAGCCCGTCCTTCAGTTGAAACAGGGTCTGTGGTGAGTACTTGCTTTTAGTGTCATTGCTGTTGTCTACCTTTACCAATTATTGCAGGAGTTTTGTACGCATCCAACAGTAACATTTATATAATGTTGTAGACCCAAGAGTTTTGTAGTATTAATACTCCACAATTATGTGAGGATTTATTCCGCTACATATATTTTTACCTTTGATTTATAGGAAGATTAGAACTTCCTCTGCCTTAACAACTTTGTTTGTCAAGTTTCCGTTGCGCGGATTTGTTGCGCAGTGTAATATATTGCGCTCGAAGTCAATGCTAACTGGGATATTGTGTTGATTTAAGTATACCTAACAATCCTTGTGATGAAGGACTTAAGTTACTCATCCAGTATTATCTTTAACTAATATGCCTCATCAAAGTCAGCAGATATATCATGTAACTCCACATTAGTTTGTTTATTAGGTGTATCCGATATCCAATATAGCTTTTACGAGCTAGTATAAACCAATTTGATTTCTTTGTGCTCGCTTCTTGATTGTAAGGTATAGTTTCCCGTTCTTCGGTAAACTTCTGTGTAGCTCGTCCCACCACTCGACTGTCGTAGCTTTGTTGACTCCAAAGGGAGTAGTGCTGGGATTAATTATATGTGGTTTGTAGTATGAAGCGTGTTAAGATTGTTACTACTGTGAATGGAGTTGATCCTTTGTCCAGTTAGTCCTCTGATATCGTCGTCAAAAGAAAAGAGATAATAATAGTAGATATAATTAGTGAAGTGATTCAGACTAACAGACAGAAAAAGAAATAAGAAAACGTAACAACAGTCATCTGATTAAATTTGCAGAATAATGGGAATAATATATATATATATATATATATATATATATATCGGTAATAATAATAAGTGTAGTTAAAGTTGTCAGGAGAGTAAGACGGGAGAGAATGTAAAGAAGTAAAACGACAAGTTTAATTGTCTACCCCTGAATGGTGTATGCGACTTTAAGGGAGTAGGCTATTTGGATGCAGTCCTTGTGTCGCTACATGGTTGTCCAGCCTTCGCTTAAAGGCGTCCAAAGACGGTGCCATAGCTACATCTGCCGTTAAGGTATATGCACAGCTAGCATTATTTTCAGGCACATTGCAGAATCCGAGGCAGACTTAAGGGCGTATTGCATAATTTTCCGACAGACTCACGGCGCATTGCAGACTTTTTAGGGGAGGCTTAGGGACACTGTCCCAAGTATGTTTATGCGCCCTAAGGTTTTTGTCCCAAAGTCTGCGGAGCGCCCGAAAAAAATGCTAGCTGGGATCACACAGTGAAACAGTATTATTTACTGGATGACGTTTCGAACAGAACTTATTTTTCATAATACTATCAATTATAATCACAGGACTTCAAAACTTGAGTTTTATAGTTTTCTTTGTTCTCTTCTATTTGTCGTAGGGTAGTAGAATTTTCGAGATATCTGGAACAGGTGTAGAATCATTCCTACTACACGTATTTGCAGTTGACTCGGTAAAAAAGCCTTTGTTATCAACCTAATGTCTCAGGGTGGAGGGAGAGATTGATGACAGAGGCTTTGTTTATCGAATCAACTGCAAATACGTGTAATAGAAATGACTCAACTCCTGTCCCAGATAAGGAAAGTTAAAGTCATTCAATGTTATGCGCCTACAAACGTCTCAAAACAAGGAAACAAGGAGGCGTTCTACAGACAACTACAAACAGTAATGGACAACGTCCCAAATGGCGATATCAAAATCCTGATAGGTGATATAAATGCGAAACTGGGAGGAGACAATACAGGAAGAGAACTCACCATGGGTCGCGAGGCCCTCGGTGAAATGAACGACAATGGTGAACTCTTCTCAGACTTCTGCGCCTTCAATGATTTGGTGATTGGCAACAGTGTGTTCAAACACAAGGATATACACAAGACGACATGGATTTCACCAGATGGACACACCAGAAACCAGATAGACTTCATTTCAATCTCAAGAAAGTGGAGACGGAGCCTACTGGACACAAGGTCGAGGAGAGGAGCAGATGTGGGTTCAGACCACTATCTAGTACAAGGGACTTTCAAGGTGAAGCTAAAAGCCTCGAGGATAGCTGAGGATAGGCCACAATGCAAGTTCAACACTCAGAAACTGAAGGACACAACCACAAAGGACACTTTCACTGCAACTATCAGAGCAAAGCAGGAAACACTACGTGACATCACTGAAGAATCATGCGTGGAAGACCATTGGAACTCTCTGAAGGTGATTTTCAACGAAACGTGTTCAACGGTTTTAGGAAGAAAGAAGAGACAAGACAAGGAATGGCTCTCAATGGACACTTGGAAGCTAATAGGGGAGGGGAGAATGGTGAAAGAGAAAATGGTTCAATGCAAGGACGGACAGGAGAAGTAGACGCTGAGCTCAACTCACACAGCACTGGACAAAGAAGTGAAGAAGAGTGCTAGGAAGGACAAAAGACAATTCTACGACAACCTGGCCACTGAAGCTGAGAAGGCAGCAGGCAAAAGGGACCTGAGGACACTATATCAGATAACCAAGTCTCTATACGGGAAGAGATCAACACAAGTGAAACCTATAAAAGACAGCCAAGGGAACCCAATCACCAAGGAAGAAAGACAGATTAAACAATGGGCGGACCACTTCAAAGGACTCTTGAACCGACCATTGCCTGCAACCCGTCCAGAAATACCAACAACAGCGCGCACACAACTGCAAGTTGACACCAATCCTCCAACGAAAGCTGAAGTCTTGAATGCAATCAAGCTTCTGAAAGCTGGAAAAGCAGCTGGACCAGATGGAATACCCCCTGAAGCACTGAAAGCGGACCCAGAGACGACAGCAGATATGCTGACTCCATTATTGCAAAATGAAGGAAGGGAGGGAAAGGTGCCTACTGACTGGAAGAAAGGTTACCTCGTGAAACTACCAAAGAAGGGCGACTTGCGCCTCACTCTGCAAGAACTGGCGAGGAATCATGCTCCTGTCGACGCCAAGTAAAATCCTGAGTCGCATCATCCTGGAGAGAATAAAGGACGCACTGGAGACAGAACTCCGACCAGAACAAGCTGGATTCAGGAAAGGCAAATCATGTTCTGACCAAATTGCAACTCTACGCATCATCATCACGGAACAAAGCATGGAATGGCAATCAAACCTCTACCTCAACTTTATAGACTTTGAGAAGGCCTTCGACAGACAGCGTTGACCGTGAAGTAATTTGGAAACTACTCGAGTACTACGGCGTGCAGTGACCGAAATATTCATCATCAGTGAGGCGTTTGGAGTAAACACAGGTGTCAGACAAGGGTGCTTGCTAATTATCAGCAATGATATTCCTAATTGTGGTGGACTGACTGGATTATGCGTCAGACATTGAGTGGGAAACGAGAGGACGGGGATATCCTGGACCGACCGATGTGAAGGACCTAGAGGACCTGGATTTCGCGTGTGGATGATTTATGTTTGATGTCACTGTCACAAAATCGAAGACTTACAAGCGAAAACCGACAAAGTGGTCGAAGAAGCAGCCGGCAAAGACAGGACTCCATGTGAACGTAGACAAGATGGAGGTTATGAAAATAACCAGCCAACCAACAACAACAACAGCGGCAGCAAAATCCAGTACCAATCACCATAAATGGTAGGGATTTGAAAGAGGTTACTTCATTCACTTGTCTAGTACGGAACATTGTCTCAACTACAGTCAGGAGGAACAGACGAGGATGTCAAATCGAGCGAGAATCGGGAAGGCGAGCGAGAAAAACATTCATCAACCTGAAACTAATCTGGAAGTCTTCGTCACTCAGCCAGCATCAACAACAAAATTCAGTCGGATTTTCAATACAAACACGTCAAGTCAGTCAGCTCTTCTATACGGATCAGAAAATTGGCGGGCGGGTCACAAAGAATATTTCCAACAGCCTGTTACAGACCTTTATCAACGACTGTCTTCGCTCTATACTGAAGATCAGATGGCCGGGCCGGAAAGAATCACCAACAAGAAACTATGGGCACTAACAAACAAAACAAGAACCGATCGTCCAACAAATATGCAGGAGAAAATGGAGATGGATTGGACACTCGCTGAGGAACCCGCCGCTGGGTGACATCGCGCGTCAGGCCATCGCTCGAGTGGAACCTGAAAGGAAAGCAGCGAGTGGGACATCCAAGGGTGACATGGAGGAGATCATGCGAAGAGGAGTTGAAACAGTATGGACTAACATGGATGCAGGTGAAAAGTACATCAGAAGAAAGAAGCAAGTGGAGACGCGCAGTTGAAGCTCTATGTTCCACTAGGAACCCAAGGGAATAATAATAATGGCCTTATAAATGAAGAACTTTGTAAGCAACTCAAAGCTATTGGAACACATACTTCCCTATTGCATGGCCTTCCAAAGATTCAAAAACCTGGAAACCCGCTGAGACCCACCTTAGATATCTCGGTTCTCCATATCATAAAATTGAGAAATGGATTACAGAGGTCCTTACGCCAGTAACAGATTGCTTATTTAATCAATCTGTAAAAAGTTCATTCGTTCTGAACAATATGCTAGACACTTTAAACATTAGGGAAAAGGTTATGTGCTTAATCGACATAGAATCTTTATTCACTAACGTTTCACTTCATGAAACTGTTGACTTCATTTGCAATTACATCACAAGCAATAGGATATAATTACTACTTCCTGTCACTTACATCAGAGACATCATTTTAATATGTACAGAAAATATTAGATTCACCTTTCAAGAAAAGGCGTACAAACAAATCGATGGTGTTGCAATGGAGAGCCCTCTTAGGCCCCTGTTAGCAGATATATTCATGTCAAAATTGGAGGAACAAATGCATGGTATACTAGGAAAATTAGTGTTGTTTTAACGTTATTTGGATTATACCCTCATTACGGCGCATCATAAAGAGCACCTCAAACAAACTACAGACTTTCATTAACAGCTGTCTTCGCTCAATACCAATCAAGATCAGATGGCCAGAAAAGATCAGCAACAGGGATCTCTGGAGATGAGCGAACCAACCAGGAACCGATTGTGAAACAAATAGGCAGGAAGAAATGGAGGTGGTAATAATAATAATGAACTATATATGTGAATACAAATCATAAATGTGTGAATAAAACAATTCCAACAGTGGTGTGAACACGGGCAGTAATTTTGCTCGAAATATTACCAATAACAAAACTTATCATTGTGTGTAAACTATTCAAATATAATTATACTTTATTTAATCTAATCCACAATGCTCAAACTTTTTACTGATATTAAATGGAGGTGGATTGGCCATACTCTGAAGAAACCATCAAGTGACATCACTAGACAAGCCATCGCTCGAGTGGATCCCGAAAAGGAAGCGGGGAGTTGGTCTTCAATGCGAGGGTGACTTGGAGGAGATCATGTGAAGAGGAGATGAAAGCATGTGGGCAGACTTGGAGCGGGGTGAAAACGTTGGCAGAGAACCTTGACGCAATGGAGACGCGCAGCTGAAGCCCTATGTTCCTCTAGGAATTAAAGGAAATAATAATATAATAGTAAATCTACTGAAGAGATCGTGTGAAGAGGAGTTGAAACAGTATGGATTAACATGGATGCAGGTGAAAAGTACATCAGAAGAAAGAAGCAAGTGGAGACGCGCAGTTGAAGCTCTATGTTCCACTAGGAACCCAAGGGAGCAATAATAATAATAAATCTATTGGAAACTTTGTTACTCTATTTAATCGTAGTCATCCAAATATTCGAGTGACTTCCGAACTAGAATCGAATAACAAACTCGATCTCCTGGATATTACAATCACCAGGAGAGATGATGGAACGATTCAACGATCTATTTTTCGTAAACAGACGTGGAGTGGACAGTATCTTCATTTCACCAGTTTTGTTCCTATCCAGTATAAACATTCCCTAGTGAAATATTAATTCTCAAGGGCCCGAAAAATATGCACGAGTAACACATTTATGGACGAGCTTCGACATATACATTCAGTTTTATTAGCTAATGGCTATCCAGAAACCTTACTTTATCACTTGTCACAGTAAAGAAAGACCATATCTCTAAAAGACAGCTTCTGCGCCAAAGAAAGCTATCTTTGTTAACCTACCATTTAAGGGTGATCAGATTATGCAGTTTACAGCTCAGAGACTTCGGTCAGCCATCAAACGCACATTCTACACTGCATCTCTTTTTCTCACATGCCTAACATTTTCGGTCCCTGTACCTACGATTAAAGGACGAAATTCTGTGGACTCTACTTCAGACTGTATCTACAAGTTCACCTGCAGCTGCGGTGACACCTATGAAGGTAGAACCGATGGAATGTTCCAATGTCGTCGAAAGGGACATGTTCCAAAATGGCTACTAAATCATATAGAAAATCCCAATGTGATTAATCTGAAAAGATATCCATCATCATCCATTGCAAAGCACTTATTGATGACTGTTTCACAATTATTTCACATAACTCTAATTCAAGGTTATTGGAGGTAATGGAGAAACTTTGGATGAATCACATACAGCCTAAACTGTGTGTACAAAACACAATAGACTTCAACCGCCTACCGTGAACTGACTGCATGACCTATCTAAATATGATTGGTCATTAGTATGTACTTTTGTTTTATATAACTGAGTAATTGTCATGCATTTTATTTTATTATTGTTAACCATGTTCGTTGTAAAGCGGTTGTAAAGAAATTGCGAAATGATATAATCTCACGAAATTTGTCTTCTAAATGCTTTATTCAAATTTACTATATGTTGTAAATGTCTAGGATATCAAAATTGGTGTGTAAGTCGGTCCTCAATACACGTGGATCATTGTTCTTGGAATAACTAAAGGCTATATGATTGGAATAAACGTTATTACGCCTCTTTTTGGTATATTTTCCGTGAATTCCTTTTGAAAGTGGTAACATGAACATCAAGAACTCCGGTTGAGTGAACTCATTCTCCCACGGCTAACCTTCTTCCTCACTGTGCGTCGGTCCGGGGTTCGTTCCCCTGCCGACGCACACCTGATATCTATGGTTGGCCTACAAAATTTGGGCTACCGATATCACATGCTGAAAATTCCATACCTGTACCAAAAGTACGGTGTGGAGTCAAGCTGTAATCAAAAACAAAATAAAAAAAATTAAAACAGTTTCATCATCAACTATTTCTTGTGAGATATGTGTACAGGACTGGAATAAATAAGTTTTAGCTGTAAAGATCAGCCTTTTCTATGGATACCATGGCTAAAAGACTGAAGATCTTTGGTGGGCTTGTTGTACGCTTATAAAGAATAGTTGTTTTGAAACAATTATTCTGTAGACCATGAATTAAACGTATTTAACGAAAATTTCACTTTCTTACCGAGTGTATATTGTTTATCCAGTTGTTGGATAGAATTCAGAAAATAGAACTTAACAATCAACAGATTTGAAGTCTGTAAAGCGAGACTTGATTTGCAGTGCACGTATGTGTAATTGCTATTGTTGATCACTATCGGCATTAAATTATTTGTGGTGTTGAATAAAACTGTTGATTAAGTATTTTATGGTCAGAAATATTCTGATAAGAGATTTAATTTGTTAAATGTTCGGCGACCTCCACGAGGCTACGGAAACCTGTTCTTCCTATACCACTGGAATTTTATCCTGAAAACTGATGATTGAAAAGGAGTCGTAAGGTAATCAACGAGGTATTTTTAGGGATATCTTCACTTCACCAACTAATTCGTTCGTACCACGTGAGAAAAATGGGCGAAGGATGGTTAACTCATTTTTCTTTATAGTCTGTCTGTTTTCGACATAGAACTTTGCACATATGTGCAGTAGTCCAAGTCGCTACACTCCATGTAGCACACAAAGCAACAGAAGAAAGTACAAGAAATGCATAATAGAGACGTAAACACAGGTGTGAGACAAAAGCAATAGTGATAACGAAGAACAATATAGTTACATTGGAAATTATAGGTCACAGGGAGTGGATGCATCTGCACCAGCCATTGAGAGATTTTGAGCCATATCACCAATTGTCTCCAAACATTGGTTTTCACCGTCCCGAGGTCCCCAACTAGGAAGTCTATACCTTCCTACGTGGCTAGCCTAAACTAACTGTTATGGATTTCATTGACTGATGAGGCCATGTTTTGGTTTAACCACCGCTAGCTCTTTTCTAACCTGACCCTATGTCAGCTAACATTGTCCATCGAGGAAGGAGATGGCTAGGCGTGCATGCGTAACACATGTCCTAACCATCTCAGTCGATGTGATTTTACAGCCTCGTCGATTGATTTCCCCTCCTTACCTAGAACTCAACACCTAACCTCAATATTGCTCATCTTACTATACCACTTCACACGAGAGATATAACTCAGGCACCTATGTTCAAAGACAGCTAATCTTTTCATGTCTTCCACTCTCAGTGGCCAGGTCTGGCTCACAGCCATAAAGGAGGACGGAGCGAACTGATGAGCAGTACACACGCCCTTTGATCGATAGCCGGATATCACGTCTAAGCCAGAGACGGCATAAACTAGCATATACGAAATTAGCCCTCTGTATCCGTGCTGATATTTCGTCAGAGATCAACCTGTTGGGGCTGATGGTACTTCCCAAATAAGTGAAGCGGTTAACGTGCTCTGCCACCTCACTCCCTATTTCTCAACTATGAGTCAGTGTAGTCCAATCCTGTAGCAACATTTTTTCTTTATAGACATACCACTGTAATCATTAGTCAGAAGGTTATCTCAAAGTCAGCTCCGTGTTTTCAAGTTGTCTCATCCTCTGTATTAGGTGTGTTTTTCGAGTACTACAATTATCTTTGGTTGCTTTTTATCTCATATGCCTTTCAAACATTTCATATTTAATGTGTTTGTTTTGTTTTCCCTGATTTCGAGTTTATAGCTGTTGGCTCGTTCACGAAGAAAATCTTACGTTGATCCTTTGCTGTTTGATTATTTCCCGAAGAAATACGCTCCTCAGAGTGGAAAGTCCTTAGTAGGCGTTTTTCAGCCATATTCCTGTGAATGCTCAGGATTCATATACTCCATATTGATGCAATGCGTTCTTCCTAAAGACTTTAATGGTTTTCAATTGAACGGTTATAACACACATTGTCTTCTTATTGATTGTGGTGGTCGATTTTGTGTATCGCAGTTTACTGATTTTGTTAAAAGTCACTTACAAAGTAAAATTTCCACTTCAAAATTTGAAAACAGTCAATATGAGTTGCTTATAAGTGAGGTTTGTTATTTCCTTTTTGTAATAATTTTTCACGTTAACAGATGTTATCTAGAATACATATTATTCGTGTGTTTACTGACTGTGAACTCCTTCTGTCTGTATATGTTTCTCGAGAAGTTATCAAAGTCCATCCAGTATCATGTTTAATAATTAGTGCAGTGAATGCATTTTCCCACTTGGAAAGATTACGATATACTTCATGGCGAAATCTGTCTAATCATCATTCAATTTTGATGGGTGTTTTGCTTCGTTTGGTTGTGGATTTTCAACTTCTTTGTATTGCAACTATGCGACACTTTCCTGATGCTTATTCGTCTAAAGGATGTGACCACCCTAACAGTTCTGTAAATAGTGAAGCACACGAAATACTACGCCCAAGTGTTCTGCCATTCACTGAAACAAAACCTGATGACTGGTTAAAATATGTGACCCACAAAGTAGAATTATTTGACTGTCAAAATTCTTTTGTTTCATATATCAAGGATGAATCTGGTATGAAAGTAATCAAGGATACAAGAGTCTCTAATCCATAGTTATTCTATCCAAATAAAAGGCGTATTTGTGTAATTGCATTACTGTTATTTCACTTCATCACTTTTCAGCTTTGAGACTGTTAGCTGTGTGTTAGCGCATGCTGTGTGGCTCACCATTCTGTGATATACGTTTTTCATACAATTTATTCCCCATACATTTCCCTGTCCATCGGTGGCACAGCGGTTAGGACGCTCGCCGACCATGCACATGGTCCAGGGTTCGAATCCCGGCCACAGACGCACTCTTTTACCTCACTGAGCCATAAATAATGCTGGTAAAGAGGAAAGGCTGGGTATGAGGCTAGCAACCCCATCCTGTAAAATTAAACACTGCTACAGAAACTTCAAGCCACTAGCTTGAAGCCCTATGTTTCACTGGGGCATGTGAAGAGAAGAAAAGGTATGACTTACATTTAAAATGAACACTAAAAGTAACAAGAAGATAGCACTTAATCATGATCTTTGTCAATTAAAAGAACATTGATTCTTAAAAATCAGATATATACAGTTAAATAAGTTACATGGCTTATAGTAGGTGTTCCAGACAAGAATTTATGATAAGGATTATCAGAAGTAGTGTACGCAACTTTATATCCTAAGAAGGGTAAAGATTTTCTTTTATTCCTTCACATTCCCAATGGAACATACGGCTTCAAGCTAGAGGCTTGAAGTTTCGGCAGCAATAGTGTTTACTTTTACAGGATGGGGTTGTTAACCAGCCTCATGCCCAACTTTCTCTCTTTACCGGCTTTATTATTGGCTTAGCGAGGTAAAGGAGTGCGTCTGTGGCCGAGGATCGGACCCCGGACCACATGTGTGTGGTTGGCGAGTATTCTACCTCTGTGCTATCGACGCACAGAAAGATTAAGGTGCAGAGCATTTGAATGCATATTTCTCTGTTAAGACTTATCTTCAGCATTCAACATTGTACCTAAAGATTCAGGTGAACAAAATAGAATCAATACTTATGATATTGCCAGACAATTGGGTCTGTCTTTAGTATGCCAATAACACTTTTTTTTGCATACATCAGTAATTAAATGTTATAAGATTTATTAGTGTAAAATATTCCCATATCATGAATTAAAAGGCAATCTGAACGGAGAATATTTTTTTTTCAGTAGTTTCCTCGTTTCACGTTCTTACAATTATAAAATATAATATTTTGTTGTCATTACAATAATAATAGCCAGTTATGCGACGGATACATTTTTTTTTACGTAGAATAACAGATTAGTACTCATGGGGTGTCAAAATAAATAGTCGTATTCGTGTGACAAATGTGCTAGACTGGAATCGATTACAAAATAATGTGAAATCGGCGAAAATGGTGGTGATTAGTCATAATAGATTTGTAGAGTGTAGGGTAGGGAAGGTTGACAAGTCAGTCCAAGGTTATAAAAGGTGTCAAGTGAGTCAGTGGGTAGTAGAAAGTGGTATATATTAAAGAGGAGGGGATAGTAAGACTGTAATGAGGAGTTCATAATGAAATAACTAATGTGTGAAATGAAACAGGTGGAGGCATATATTGAGAAAAGAGGTAATATCACCAATAATAAGTCCGGATAGTATAAATGGAAAATTCGATAGTATTGAGAGAATGTTTTCATGGAGGCTTTAAATTACGACTAATAATAATAATAATAATAATAATAATAATAATAATAATGATTGTAGTAATAAGCAAAGAAAGAAAGAGCCAAGAGGGTTGAGGGGAAGAAGCACTCTTGTTGAGAAGAATCATCAATCCAAGTTTGGCCACAGTAGGAACAGCGTCTGGACGTGTTCTTTTTGAATACAAAAATTCCGGTTTAGTCGATCTTATTGCAACAGCTTCAGATATGTGTAACAGACTTAAGTGAACGGTATGCGATAATGACTTTGGAATTCGGTATATAACCCTGAAAGTTGTGTTGGTATCGATGCTATATCCAGTATCGACCAAGTGTGACAGGATTAAGCTTTTTATGCGCTTAATTCCCCCCCCCCCCTCCGGCCCTGCTGAACTAAGCTGGTAAATGTTCTCGAACCCGTAGACGAACCTGCCTAATCGTGCGCTCTATATAACTTGAACTACAGGAATAGTTGCAATGATATATGCATGAAAAAGAGCTAAGGTTAGGTAAGATATCTTTGAGTTGCTGGGTGAACATTGGACGGCTACTGAAGGATAGGGACAAACGTGCAGAGTAGGAAGTTTTTTTATCTCCCTGGTTAGACGTTGCGATAGAATCTCTGCAGAAGTATTTCCCTTAACTGATCTGTTATTCTATCCGCCGCATAACTGGCCATTATTGTAACGACAACAAATATTTTATAATTGTAAGAACATGAAGAGAAACTACTGAAAAGAATATTCTTCGTTCAGATTAACTTTTAATTAAATTTTAGTTGTATACGAACTTTTGTGGTGTAGACATAATAAGGACCAATGAAGTTTTGTAAAAACAGAAATCGGTGGGAACATCATGACTCACTGGGGAATGCAGGTAAACCTAGATGACGAGTCACAAATAGGACGAAATGCACATCCTGAATTCCACTGCTAATCACTATCCACCAATTAAAAATCGTAGAAGTCAGAGATTTCTTTTCAAACTGGCTTCGTTTAGATAAGGCATTAGTTAAAGACGCAGTCTCCTGAATTTCTTGTGCATCTCTGCTCCTCATCTCAATGCCTTTAATAGTCATTTTTCATGTTACTCGTGAACTATAAACATTTTTATGTATTCAGTGAGAAATTACATCCAAACTTTGGTAAATTCAGGAGACTTCGATCCTATAATTTCTTGGCTGTTCGTCGGTGGCACAGCGGTTAGGACCCTCACTGACCATGCACATGGTCCGGGGTTTGTTCCCCTGCCGATGCACACCTGATATCAATGGTCGGCCTACAAAATTGGGCTACCGATATCACATGGTGAAAATTCCATACTTGTACCAAAAATACGGTATGGAGTCTTATTGTTGTGTAGTTGACTTAAAAAGTGTATCTTCCAATGTGTTTTGTTTTTTGATTTAATGATTTAAAAGATCCGTTAACGTCAATTTTATGTCCTGTCTCTATAATATGTTTCGCAATAGAGAAGCTAGGTCTCCTGTTCTCACCATTATTGGGTTCCGAAGATTCCATTTGTTTCTGGAGTCATTTAGGAATGTACTCTGAAGCCCTTACTTGCAGAGATCGATGAGTCCTCCCTATGTATGTGTGTCCACACGTACATTCAAATGGGTAAATACAGTGAGATGTGACGTCATTTTTCTCATGTTCAAAGGGCTTAAATAGATATATTGGCTTTACATTCTCTATTATTATGATATTAGCTGCATAAAAAGTCTTTTTAACAACAGACTTCAGTCTTTGTCTAGTTATCAAGCTGCTATGATGCCCCATATAGAGTAGCTTGATGTACACGTCTTTCGTAGGGGGGCGAGTTGTAGAATGGGTCTTGGTGTTCTAACTACCTTATATCTCCTGATGAACTTGTCTGGATAATTGTTATCAACCAGAGTTTGTGTCAACTTTCTTTCTTCTTCATCAAGTTTGTCTTCAGTGTATATTCGTTGAGTTCTACTGAAGCGGCACCTAGCTGACTAAGGCTCTTTTGTACCGAACAGGGCATCATCAACTGTGGTAATTTAAATACTGTCCTGTCCAGGTAGGTTTTCTATAAAAAGATTTTTTTATCGACCCATCAAGCCGTCTACTAATTAATATGTCTAGGAAAGATAAACAATTACCCTCCTCTTCTACAGACGAAGGTGATATGCTATTCTGAGCTTCAATCATTCGGTTTAAAGTTGAGGGGGAGGACTCATCGACCTCTGAAAGTAAGGGCTGGCTTCAGAGCATATTCCTAAATGGCTCCAGAAACAAATGGAATCTTCAGAATCCATTAATAATGAGAACAGGAGACCTAGCTCCTCTATTTGCGAAACATATTATAGAGACAGGTCATAAAATTGATGTTTACACGTCTTTTGAACCTTTCCACAAAACGTGTTTGGGGCGTATCGTAAAGTTTGTGGAAGCCGTAGCAATTAGAAAGATTTACTGATTACCCATCCATGCTAGGTCTTCATATTTTAATTATATCTTGCATTCAGTTCATATGGTTTTGTATAATTAATTTATTTGTTACAAATAAATCTTTTAATTAAATCAGTGTTCTTCTGTAATTCTTTTCTGTTGTTCAGTTTACTTACTTTGACTAAACATTTTCTAGTAGAGAAAGAATCACTCACTGGACAACTGAAAATAACATTATCTGACAAATAGCCATGGAGGTAACTGATGACACCAATTATATACTTCAAAATCAAACGCTTTGCATTGAAAGGAAAAGTGTTGAACCGATTTTGTGTAAACCTCGACTTTTACCACTGAAATCGGTTAAACTTTCGGGAAATGATATGGAGAATAGACTTGTTAGTGATAAGAAGAATACAGAATGCCAGAATAATAAAGACTTATAACTGTCAATGCTTAGTTTTCTGTGTTTATTATATTAAAGTTGTACCCTGAAGTTTCATTCATTCATTAAGTCTTTTATTGGCATCAAATTTTGATTTGTTTCTTATTTTGTTCACATCATGTACTTGAAACAGAGATGTTTTGGTTCTTAATAAATTGCTGATTACCTTTGAAATTTCAGTAGAAATAAAAGTTAATACTTTCGATAATATTCTGTGAATGGCTTCTGTAAACTATATATGACTTTCTTTCGAAGCAGATGCACTTTATAAAAGGATTTTACTACATCCCACATTTCTTTTACCATTCCTTCACATTCCCAGTGGAACATAGGGGGCTTCAAGCTGGAGGTTTGAAGTTTCTGTAGCAGTGGTGATTATTTTTACAGGATGGGGTTGCTAGCCAGCCTCACTCACAACCTTTCCTCTTTACCAGCTTTATTATTGGCTTAGCGAGGTAAAGGAGTGCGTCCAGTGGCCGAGGATCGAACCCCGTACCACATGAGGTGTGGTTGGCGAGCATTCTA